ATTATTGATGGATTTTTCTACTCTGCTTAACATAGGGGTGTCAAATTCAAGGCCCGCGGATGCTTAGATCTAGCCCACAGGGCCATCCTGAAAACACAGAAGGACTGGCCCAAGTGCCTCTGCCAGTGAAAATTGAGCTCAAGAGAGCCTCACACGGCCTTCCCAGGCTCCATTTTTGGCCATGATGGCCTCCTGCAGCCCTTTGTCAGCCAAAACGGAGCCTGGGGAGCTACGTTTTCCCTGGCAGAGGGCTGCAGGAGGCCATTGTGGCCGAAAACGGAGCCTCGACAAGTGACTTTGAGCTGGCCATGCCCCCCTGGCCACAGCCTCCCTGGGCATGGCCCTCCATCCACACACCCCATTCCTCCCAGGTCAAACACAACATTGATGCAGCCCTTAATGAAATCGAGTTTGACACCCCTGGTTTAACACATCAATGCCTGTGATGGACGCTGCATGTCTTTTGATTGTTTCTGTTAACATTTTCTGTTGAATGTTAGGAATTGGCTTGTGTGAAAGGGGGTTAAAGGCAGAGGGTAAGGCTGGAAGGGTAGAAACCATGGGTGAAAGAGGAGCCTCAGTTTTGCTACCTAAGAAGAGATTCATTGCAGTGACAAGAGGAACCTGGTCCTAATCGTCACTTCCCAAAAGATGCTTCCCTTCACCTTTTCCCATGGCCGTGTTGTGCCTTGCCAATTAGACGGTGAGATAGGCAGGAAATATCTTTAAATTTTAATTGTACTATTTAGAACAGTGCTTTTCAAGCTGGGACACTTTAAGATGTGTGGACTTCAAATCCCAGAATTCCAGAGTCACCCTTTTGAAAGAGTATCAAGCTGGGGTTATAGTCATAGTGCATAGTGAATTTTCTTCTTCTTTTGATCCAAACTGTCCAGCTTGTGTCCAGTTTAATAATTCCAGCAGCGTATTGTATCAAAGGTATTGCCAAGGTATTGATGGCTTTGATGATGTTTTCACCATCATCATTTAATTTTGTCTTTAGCACGTTTTCTCACTCTTTGAATATACAGTATTTTACTAAGCACATTTTTCTAACCACATTTTTCACTTGTCCGTGCTTGATGTTATCCAACTGTAAAATGTCCAGATACTTGTAGGCTTCATCCTGGTGGTTTGGCCATTCAGCATCTCAATTCCATTGCCAGGATTTTACCCCAATCAGTTGCTTTTCTCTAGGCCAAATGCCATTACTATAACTGTGCTAAAAATTATTACCATACTTGTCACTGACCAGGTTTCAATTTCTGGTTTTCCATAAAGCTTCAGTTCATACATGTAAAGCAAATGTGATAGTTGTTGTGGTCTGCTCGTGGCCTGTGGAGCTGGCAGCAGAGTTGGGCAGTGAGGATGGGGAGGAGCATGGGCCAGTCCTGGAGTCTGGGGAAGGCTCGGATGAGGGCTCTGGGTCGGAGGCAGAGAGGGGGCCAGGGTCTTCTGGGAGTTATGTGCTGCCTCCAGAGCCTCCAGAGTCGGTCATCAGCAAGGCAGAGGAACAGGGGGAGCCTGTTGCCAGTGGGCGCAGGCGCAGAGCTGCCAGAAGGCAAGAACAGTTAAGACAAAAGGGGAGACTTGGGAGTAAGG